TTTTTTTTTACTGAATCCCTGAACACTGCTTGTGAATACGGCGATCTCCAATTTCTGTTTTGTGGCCCTGTTATTTTCCTAGATGACGATTTGTCCGTGCCACTGTTTCTGACAATGTGTGTCGGCAGCCATGATGATCTCTAAGAAAAAAAAAGAACTTATTAAAAAATTCTGAGAGTGCCATACCCTGTAGCTTTCTTTTGAGTAAAGATCAACACCATTCGCAGCTTCCTGGCACGTTTTGTTGCAGCGCTAGGCTTTCCACGAGCAGACCATGTAATTGGATCGTGCAGCATTATGTAACTTGAGAACTAGTGAAACTATCATGATGAAACTGCACATTTCCTTATTCGAGACACTAATGAGTATGCATGCCAAATTTCATTGCTGTAGGTCAACAAATAAAGGTTTTTTCAAAGCCACCTCCCCCCTTAAGACCTTTCCTAGATGGTTTTAGGTTCACTTGGGAGCTGTATCCAACACGGGGACATATGTGTAAAGTCTTGGTCTCTTGCTCTAATGACTGCTCTCCGCTTCCTTTGCATGCTTCTGAAGGTCAGTGGGAAGGTTACACGGCTTGCTGGGAAACCCGCCCGGAGGGCCTTACTTCTCTATGGAAGAAACTAAGCAGTGGCTGCCACTGGTCCACAAGCCGTTTCAAGCTCCTTGCGAGCGAGAACCACCCGGTGCTGACGCTCTTTAAAATTTTCTTGGCCTCTACATCGTGGAGAGACTGAAAAGCTTTCAGCTTATCCATCCTTTTTGAGCTTTTTCTCGGGGTAGTAGAAAATGTCAACTACCCCCTCATCCACATTCAGTGGAAGGCATGCTGAGCCTTTCTGTACTGCCAGATTGATCAAATGGCAACAGCAGCCCATGATGGCAATGTTCTCATGGCTTTCTTCCAGCACAGCAGTCACTTCATTTTTCAATGCAATCATGACTGGCGCGTTATCACACGCCGCGCCGATGCAGTTGTGGAACAGTATCTTTTTGCTCGTGAGCGTGTCCACAAGTACATCGATGTTTCGTCCTGTGGAGTTACCTTCGAGGGCAGGCATCACGAGCAAGGCAGTGCGAACAGTACTATCACAGAACGTCACCACGATTGGATACAGTTTTGCACCGTTGCCGGCGTCATTGCTCCCGTCTGTGGCGAACGAGAACGGAGCGTGCTGAAAGTGAATTATCACTTCGTCTATAGCTTTATTGGCCATTTCCTTCACAATTGCCGTAGTCTGTACGGGTGCAGGCGTAGTTCTTAGCTTCCTTCTAGTCCGGAAACATTTTCCTGAAGAGGTCTCCAGCGTGATCAGCAGCCGTGAACGGCACGTTGTGTTCAATCAGGAACGCAGTAAAAAGGCACTCGGCTGGAATTGTAGTATCGAGATCCGCTTTGCTGAAGTACCCTCAAAGTTTCCCGCTAGAGTCCACAAATCTCGCCAAGTCTGCTTTTTTTCGTACTCCAAGTAGCAGAATATCCCGGCGACCAGCGTGCGAAATGTTCACATCACAGCAGCACAAACTACAAAATGCGTACCGCTCACCTTTCAGCGACCTCTTAATAAATGGACTGTCAGTCGAATAGCTGGGAATAAAAACTTGGAAGTATTTCTTCTCGGACATCTCGTGAGCTACTAGGACTGAACCATACGCTACCGCTCCGCAAAAGCATTTGCAAGGCACCTCCCGCAGCGCGCATGGTAACAAAGAAAGTCTAACACATTTCCGCTATCCGCGAAGTCAATGCCTTTGGCTTTGACTCTGGATACCGTATCTACTCGCATAATCCTCGCACTTTTTTTGCCAGAAAACCGATGCAAATTGGGGAGTGCAAGAATTCTGCGAGGAAAACTTTCTACGAAAATGCAGAGAGCGAAAAAGAAAACGAAGTGGCCGCAAATCTGAATTCTCACAAAAGCACTTTACAGCAAGCTTTAAGAAGTACTAATTAGAACTTACCTCAACAATAAAAGCAGAGGTTTAACACAAGGCAAGATTTATTTGAGACACAAAAACCGGAAGCAAATAGTCGAGAATTAGAAAACCATACGCGATGCTTGTGGGCGTTGCAGGCGTAGCGGTAGTGGTCGGCACTCAACAGGATCCCTCAAAATGTAAGCGTAGGACGTTAGTATTGGGCTGATGGCTATTTAACAGAATCGTCCGCAGTTCCCTTCTGAAGAAATAAAGTTTACCATCAATCCCAGTTTTAGGCACACGGCAGGCTCAACGCGTCTTGGTGGCTTTCAGCTGGCGTCACCAGTAGCGAACACAAAACTCGTAGGCTCCGAAGGGCCCACCGGCGGCCCTGTTGCCGTTGTTTAGCGCATGATCTATCACTTGCAACTTGAAGCAGCCGTGTGGCTTCAGTATCGCCCCATAACGTGCCCAGATTATCGACACAACACACAGAACACGCCGCAACGCGCACTGGCCACTTTGGCTTGGCTTGGATTGGATCTCCGTGCAATAGTACGCTTGATGGCGCCAGATGGTGTGCACTATCATCATCAATGGCAGGAACAAGCAGACGACATTATTGCGGCAGTTTTCGGGGGTGCGATAATTACTCGAGGAAAAAAAAAATCGTACTTTTTTTTGGGGTGATGCGAGAATTATGCGAGTGCGAGGATTACGCGAGTAAATACGATATAAGCCAATACACTGTTGCCTGCATAATCCCACGAAAAAAAAAAAAAAAAGAAGGCCAGATGGAGCTGGTGCAGTTGACTGTCTGAAGCAGCGCGTTAAGTTTGGGAACAATTTGGCCCGAAACATGAAAAATCGTTAAAATATAGTTGTCATTACGATACTCGTAAAAATGTGCTCAAAATCGGGCACTTCACGATAAAATCATAAAACTTGGCAGGTATGCATATATGTATACTTATCTATATATCAACACTCTAGAAAAAAAAAGCTGCCCACGCTCGTCTGCGCCGACCCGCTCTTATCTCTGACGCATACCGTATTTACACGATTGTAAGGTGACTCGAATGTAAGACGACCCCCCCAAAATCGCATCTCAAAAAAAAAAAAAAAAAAGAAGAAGAAGAAGAAGAAGAACGCGCGCATTTTACACAAGGGAAATTTATTCACGTGGTTGCGGAGGATTATTCATCGTCGCTGGAGTCGTCCTCCCTGGTGCTGCTGCCGTCATTGCTGCTGCAGTCCCACAGCACGTCGTCGTCAAGTGTGAGTCCACACTTCGCGAACGACCGCACCACGGCATCGCGTGGGACGGCCGCCCATGCGGAGAGGACCGATTCCGAACTTCCGTCCTGCTGCACAGTTGTTGGTTTCCTCCGCATGAAGAATAGCAGCCCGCTTAAACGCTGCCGTAAACGAGCGCCGAGTGTTCTTCGAGCCTACGGCACTCATGTCAGACAGAAGTGACTCGAGAGAGCCGGTCGTGGACACAAGCGACAGGAGCACGCGGCGACGCGCCCGCTTAGAAAATTGTATCACAAAGAGGAGCTCTTCCGTCAACTACCAATACCCCCCTACGGCGGCTCTTCCATCGATTACCGGTGCTCCCTCAAGAGCCGTGCGCTCGTCATAAAGGCACTCGTAATGCGCGCAGTAGATGCTAAAAAAAGAAAAGCTTTTGTATAAGCACGTGGAAAACTATGCGCTTTGGGTTGAGCGGGAAACTATTCGAGATGACAATACATGGGTTTCGATTCTAAGACGACCCCCCAACATTGGATTGTCAAATTTGAAAAAAAGGGTCGTCTTACAATCGTGTAAATACGGTACTTTGCCCCGCGGGGATGGGGAGGGGGGGTTGATGCTTGTGCACGCGCGCTCATCTTTCGGTGTGGAGAATTGTGTGCCTTCGGCTTTCACTAAACGATTGCATTAGTTGCGGGTCCCACAAAGGTATCTTCGGTCTATGCATGCACAGGCCCCGTTTGCAAAAACAGCGCACTTTTCATATACAGCGAGGTATAACTGGGACACTTGTTAGTTTGTACTCATCCGTAGCAGTGATTATGTATCGAGCATCGCTTTGTTTTGTTCAAACAGCGCGTTACATGTCGAGCGATAAACAATGTTAGTTTGCTCTCGTTTTGTGTGTATTGTTTTCGTGTGTCATTTGTGCGTGAGCAGCACGCTGCGCGTTTTCATCTGCTTGCCGTTCTCAGTGTGACATTCCGTGCTGTTGCTGCTGCATTCATCGCTTCGTCCTTGCGGCTAAACTGTGACCTTTTTGTTACGCATTTACTGACTTTAGTCTACTGCTGTCTACTACTTTAGTCTACCACAACGGTTGTGCCAACGACAATCACACGCACTGTAGAAGACGGTGCGTGCGCCGGTCGCACGCATACTTCCGAAGCTTCGGTAACGCTGCTCAGACCCTTCGTTCGACGATTTCCATACTGAAGTTTGTATCACCCGCCGCGATTAGGAAATGTGTTCGTAACATTCGAATTTTAGTCCAATAGACATAGTGGAATTTTGCTGAGGAATTTCAAAATTCGTATATGCCGCGATTTCACATCACTGAGATTCTACTGTAGGTTTAGATGAACACCTCTTAAACGCATTCATTATAAAATGGGGTAGGTTTAAAAAGCCTGGAGCGGATTGAGCTGCTTTTTTGTCAAGGCGGCCAGAACACTCACAAAAATTTTGATTTTTGGGAAATTTTCATGACAACCGTACAAACGGAAGAAACGGTCTGAATCCGGGAGACTTGACAGGTACTGATTTGTGGTACAGTTGTTTTAAATTCTGTTTTCAAGAAAATATGTGCAAACAAAGTATGAACAAGCTCTAGTGACTAAAAGGTGTGCAAACTAAGGGTGTGAAAACTCTAGTGATTAAAGCACACTTCTAAGGAAACTATCTACGAAGAACTGGCCATGTCACATAACTGGCTTAGTGGAAGACCTTTCAAACCTGTAATCTTGTGTTTTCCATGGCCTTGACTCAAGCAAGCATAGGTTCAACCTGTCTGAACACTGCAGAAGAATTATGGCAGGGCTCACCCTCATGGTCAGCAGCCTCGCCATCACGCCTGCGTTTGCGGTTCAGCAAGTTGCGGGCAAACTTCGGTGGTGGCAGGGGATCCATGCCAAGAACTTTGTGAATCTGGCGGAAGGCTACCAGGCGCAGAGCATGCTGCGACAAAAAGGACAACACTTTACAATACTCTCGCACACAACAAAAACCGAGTTAAAGATGACCGGCAATCTTGAATGAAAACTAATGAAAACTTCGGCCAAATTTGTACTGCACACTTCATGTAATTATTCTACAGCACAGAGTTTCCTAAAATTAACTGTAGGGGACTGACGCTGCGATCGTTCAGCAACCATAGGAATAATGGGTAGTAAACAGACTTGAATTCGTCTTTGTACTTTCGGACCTAACCCGAAACTTGAATTCGTCTTTGTACTTTCGGGTTAGCTAACCTAACCTAACAATTATTCCTGTGTTTCAATTTTGTTTCAAAGGTAAGAACAAGCCCTTCTGAACTTCGTGAAACAGATTTGAAATGGTATGCCTAAAAGATTAAGGTAGTGAAGCATAATTGCTGAACACTTGCTTATTTTTGTTTAGTAACAAAACAGCTACAAGCCACGCAAAGTCAACCAGAGCCAAAGGTACCAAGATTAGACAAATCCGTGTACTACCCATCATTCCCATGTTGGCTGAAGCGTCGTGCAATGCAGCTCCTATAGTTACTAGCGCCAGAGTTCCCTCTAATGTATTTATAGAAAACTATGATCCACACTACTGAGAATACAACTTTTGTGGGAATGGAAGCTAGCCCGCTGCCTTTGCCCGGGCTTTGCCGCCTTTTCGACCATTCGCATGTCCCGACATGATCCCTCTTCCGCTGTCTCCCGCGCTGGGAGAGCGAGGAGTGACGCTTAACCCCTCTCACCCGGTGGCGAATGTTGACTGTGGCGCCGCGCGCAAGGGGTCTCGTGACATTTCACGTGCGTGTGTCGGGGAGTGAGTCTGATCTCTCCGGGACAGCTTACAGTGAGCACACATTCTTTTTCCGTCCGTCGACTCCCGTTTTTGGGGCTCGTCAGACTCCGTTGACCGCAGAGGCCAAAGCTGACTTTTTGTTGCCCCTTTGCGAACGCTCGGTCAAGGGCGGTACAGTGTGCTAGTGCGTGGCTAAGCTACGCCGACCCTTATTTCTCCGAAGCCAACGCGAGAGCCTTTGCCCTTGCTCGAGCAACCCGGCCTTGGTCCCGGTTGCGCCGTGAATCACTTTTACCACGGAGACGTGCTCGCGACACCCTGTGTAGTACTTCTCACCCGTGACATGAATAAACCTATTTGCTTTCCCGCCGCGCCTTTGCAACGGGCTGTACTGCGTTTTGGTGTTGCCACACACGATGAAGTGTTGCTACCTTGAGCAGTACCGTGTTCTCGCCACGGCGCCGGATAACGCGTGCCCTGCGGCTCGCTAAGACCAGACTCACGCTAGAGGTCGTAATCCTTCGGGATACGTGTCACCACACTTTTCACAAATATATGTTGACTATTTCTAGGGCAATGACAATACAAAAGCATTGCTTTTGAGAACAATCGGCACTTCAGTCCTAAAATCTTGTACGTAGAAACCTTCTGTGGCAAACAGAGCAGCAGGCTAGCAAAAGGCACAGTGCACACAGTGCAAGTCTTCAATCTTGATCCCAGTGCACTTTCATGATGATGTGGAGCTGTTCATTTGTAAGGGATTATTGTACAGTTAAAGGGTCACTGGCAACTGTAGCGTTATGTGACAAAAGTGGGCATGCTTACTTAGTTTGTTCCCCCGATTCTAAAAATGTAGTTATTTTTTCTGTAGCTTCATTAGGTAATTAAATAATCAAGATAACAATTTCTATTGTTCTTACAATAGAGAAATAACCACCTGTCAAAAATTTATAAATGACATAGGGATTGACAGTAGAAAGCATAAGACATACAACATAGGAAGCACTTTCGGATGCCTAGGTTCTGTCACGTGCCCCAAGCAGCCCAATTGAATCGCGCGCTAGTGCTTCTCGATGGCGCGTATTTACTAAAAAAAAAAAAAAACAATGAGCAAGGCGAGCCAGCGGTGGCGGGAAATTGAAGATGAAGAACGACCCTTCCAAACGAGACTAAGATAAACACGATAGCTCGTGTGTAACGGAAACAATTCGGCGCGGAAAAAGCACAATTTCAGCGTCAATTTGCGCTCACATTCATCTCACAGGGATGTTATAAATTAATTTTGCGCCAGAAATAATGACGCGAGAAGCCAGAAACTTCTCAGATAGGTGCAAAAATAGGTACAGATTCCGAAATTGTCAGCTTCAAGGAGTCGATTTTTTTGCGATTTTTGGCCTTCTAAGACCTGTGTCCCCCCCTAAGTTTCTAATATACCATAGCCGTGGTTTGGGGTTAGGGTGTGCACACTTTAACAGGATTGATCGATTGACAATGCAAATTGTAGGTAGACAACGTGACCTCAATTTCTCGCTGAAATAAGCGCAACTGCATACATTCTGAGGCTGGTCAGCATTTTGATGCAGCGTGGCACAATTCATGATTTTCGCTCAGCTCGGTACAAAAATTGTGAACTGTATAAAATTTGTAGACTTGGCACAGCAGTTGCACCCCTGATCCACTAGCAAACAGAAAAAAAGCCGCACTGAAAACGCTAGTGCCCAACAGTGTGTAATCATAGTTGCATGCAACCTCTGCACTTTATACAAATATGAGAATGCGAGATTGCATCAGATGCTACAGGCTAGCACAAACTCGCACCAGCCTGGATAACTACAAGCCTTACAGATTACGCTGAATTTATGGTACAGCTGGGTTTTTAAATGAAACGCTAAATGTTTTTCTACATAATAACTGCATGTATGAACAGAGTTTCTGCATGTTCAAACAATTACAATAAGTTTTTTCTAGACACTGCCTGCATCTCGGCAAGGTTCCCCAATTGTGGTGCACGTGCTACGAACAATACAGAGGTTATTCACGCAGTTTGTTAACAACATGAAATGGCAACAGAACCAACCTGAGCGCTGGCAGTTATGTCTTCCCGAGCTTGGTCAGTGAGCCCAGCCAGGGCATCCACCGGCTCTCGTTCACAAGGGTCCAGCAATCCAGGGCTCCCTAGAAGGGTGATGAGGGGAAGTTCACAAGGTGACAAGTGTTTCCATTCACAAGGAAGACACCGTTTGGTAAAATAACTCCATGCTCACATACAGGTACGGCAATATATCTGCCAACTATGGGCTAAGAAATAATTATTTCATTCACTGTACAATTGAACCCTATGACAGAACTGACAGAGCGTGGAAAAATATCTGCTTGAAGCAACAATTTTGTTGTGGCCGACCTGAGCTAGTAAAACAACAAAATCTTCATTTCCAAACTTCAGAAAGAATCAGCTGTCTCCATTCTTTCCCAGCAGCATCATGAGAAAATTTTCATGAATGCATAGCAATGCCACATTGAAAAGCACTAGTTGACGGCATAGACACTAGTGTCTCTGCCGTCAACAAGGTATCCCAGAACGTTAAGATGCAGACATACATACCTGCCAAATTCAAAGATTCTGAATCCGGGAGATTTCCGCAATGGGGGGAGGTGCGCTGAATTATTTGCTCCCCTGCTTTTTTTCAGTACCAAAAAAAAAAACTCAAGACAAACAAACAAATAACATCGTGAAAAAGAAGAGGGGGTGGGGGATCTCAATCGCAAGCGCTAACATCATCGTTGCAGTCTTATAGTGGCTTAGAGTGGCCGAACACACGAGGGTAGGGTTTCCCACTAAATTTAAAGAAGGATCAACACAACTAACAGAATCTATTTTCATCAAAACAACTCGCGTATGTCTTCCTGAGACACAGGTGAACGGACGAGACTGCGCAGCTGGCTGCTGAAAAACCGTGGGTCAAAGCTTGGGTCAAGGCTTTGCTCACTACTAGATTCTTCTGACAGGAACGCCAAAATGCGCCTGGCCCTTTTCAGAATCAGCAATAAATGCAGTAATAAAAAGAAAGTTAGGTCGCGTGCCCTTTCGCAATTGACATATACGTACACCGTTTGGAAACAGCTTCGTTGTTACACCTCACTCATCTTCGATAATTTAAGGGGAGATGCGAGTCGAAAAATCGCAAGTTTAGCGAAATTTCTCGTATTTCCGATTTTTATTGCATTGTAATCTTCAAATTTTCTTCTTTCATCTGTGAAAATTTCAAAACTAAATTCGAACCGCAAAATGCAAAAAAATGTGTATGAAGGCATCGCGGTGGCTCAAAATTTCGTGATTCTGCGCCGATATTGGCCATCTTTGACTGCGTGCTGCTCCCCGTCGCAGTGCCGTCCGCCATTGCGATCGGTTGGGAAAGTTGCGTCCGGCCTTCTTCTTACAACTCCGACAACCGCCAGTTTCGTACGTGGGCAAAAAAAATAAAAAACGAGGCCTTTGTATCACGTGATTTGAGCGGTTTGAAACGCGCGGCACCCTAAGCTGCATTGCCATTGGCTACCGAGTCATTGTCAGCTGTGTTGGCGGCGGCCATCGGCATTTGGCCCGTCTGCTTTTCTGCGCGTCTACGTATATTTCCGCGATGACAAGCCCGAAAAAGTGCAACGTGAGACCGCAGAAGTTTCGAACGAAGCACAAGTTCAAGGGAAGGCGGCGTAAAGCGCCCCGAACGACGGCGACGAACGAGAACGCGCCTACGTGTGCTAGGCCTGACGGCGGCATCGACGAGTGCGCGAGCGACAGTGGCTGCGATGAAGGGATTGACGCTGCGCTTTCTTTCGTCAGTGCTTCGGAAAAGAAGCTCGGCTTCTTCGAAAAAGACGAAAGACAGCACGATGAGGTTTGTGCAACGACAGTTTTGTGCGACACCCTCTTGCTGACGGCACTTGTGGCAGGTGCGGCATGTCCTGCTTGCGGTATTCAAAAACTTGCCGTTCGGGAGCCGGCAAAAAAACGCAAGGGACTTTCGTCGCTCCTCGAACTTCATTGCGAAAACAGCGAATGCTCAGCGGCTGTTCTTTCGTGCTCCTATACGTCACTGCGTGTTACGGCGGACGGCAGCAGCCGAGTGAGCTAACGGTACGACAGTGGGAGCTCCCGAGATAGTTTCGCTGTAAATGTGAAGGCGGTGGTGGCTGCACGCACTGTCGGCATTGGGCATGAGCAATTGTCAAGATTTTGCTCCATTATTGGACTCCCAAAGCCAATGCACCACCGAGGATTTTTTTCGATAGCAAAGAAGGTGCACACCGCTGCCATGGCAGCTGTGAGTGAAAACTTGCGCCGATCCAGAGAGTTGACGAAAGAAGTAGCAGGCGAAACTGATGTGGCTGTTATGTTCGACGGCACTTGGCAGAAGAGGGGCCACAAAAGCCACAACGGGATTGGCGCAGTTATCTCCTTAGATACTGGCCTCTGCTTAGACTTCGAGGTCATATCAAATTACTGCCTGACATGCAGTAGGCACAAGGATATGGGCCCAGACGAGGAAGTGTGGCAGGCATTCCATGGCCCAGTCTGTGAAAAAAATGCAGACTGTTCCTCCCATGCCATGGAAACGGAGGCTGCAATGTGCACTTGGCAGAGAACATTGACTTATGACACCCCACTGCATTTCATGACATTCTTGAGTGACTGTGACAGCAAAGCATATAGTGCAGTTAATATAGAAAAAGAAGACTGCACTAATCATGTGGCCAAGAGACTTGGCACCGCGCTACGGAAGCTGCATGTGCCATTACCACGAGGGCAGAAAATGAAAGAGCCAGCCATTCAGAAGCTCCAAACATACTATCAGATTGCCATAACAAGCAACAGGGGGAGTGTACGGGATATGTACACTGCAGTATGGGCTTCGTACTTCCACTCATGCTCTACTGACAATGCTGGCAGCCACAAGTTTTGCCCTGCAGGAACAGAGTCGTGGTGCAAACATCAACGCGCTGAAGCACTTGGTGAACCTGCACCACGCCACACACCTCTCCTGACAAAAGCACAGGGATTGGCTGTTTTGCCCATTTATAAGCGGCTAACGGATGAGAAGCTCCTTGCTCGATGCATCAAAGGGAAAACCCAGAACGCATCGGAATCCCTGAACAGCAAAATTTGGCTACTTTGCCCCAAGACTAAGTTTGTCTCCCGAACGGTTGTCGAGACTACCGCAGCTATGGCAATCCTGTGGTTCAACAAGGGTCATGCTACTTTTGACCACATCCTGGAAGAGCTCAACATACTGCCATCTAAAGATCTAGTTACTTTCAGTGATTCCCGCGATGCGAGGCGCATCAAGAGAATGTCCGAGCGACTGACAGCAGAAGCAAGAGCCCACCGTCGTCGTGAAGTGAAAAGGGCACGGCTAGAAGAGAGTGCTCGCAAGGACCGTGAGGGCACAACCTATGCTGCAGGACAGTTCTAGTAACTTGCAGTGTTTTTCAAAGTTCTGTTGAACATTATGGCCAAAGATTATGCATTTCTAACAACTCTGTGATAAAAAAAAAAAGGTTTCAAACTTTCAAATGCGTTTTTCTCCTTTTGCAGTTTTGTGTGATCTGTGCTTCTTATACACGCTAGTTCGTATACTTAGAATTGTCATACCTCTATGAAATTTTGCACATAGCATGATGAAGGCCCATAGAGTGCAAGTATCTATTCAGATTGTCAGTGCTGCTTGATTATGTTTTTCAAAAATTACGTAACATTGAAAGCCCTTGGCAACTAGAGCCATAGTAAATTTTTCTATTTTATTATTGTATTTCACCTTTTTACACACAAAATTTATATAGTTTTTTGCACTCTACAGTTCCAAAGGATTATAGTCAGCTATATCTGCATGCTTTATCTCAAATTTTTATAGGTCAGAATTGTTGCATAACAATGGCCATAATTTTGCAGTATCAGACCTGCAGAAAGAAAACCAAGCAATCTACATGAAATTAATGACATATTTGAAAAGAGGAGAAAAAACTCTATTAGCATGCCAATTTGTGTTAAATTCAGACTCTTATTAAAGAAAATCCTTTTTCGAGTAGCAGCTCCCCTTAAGGGGAAATGCCTTAAGAGGAAATGCCTTCATCGCAGCCACTGTCGCTCGCGCACTCGTCGATGCCGCCGTCAGGCCTAGCACACGTAGGCGCGTTCTCGTTCGTCGTCGTCGTTCGGGGCGCTTTACGCCGCCTTCCCTTGAACTTGTGCTTCGTTCGAAACTTCTGCGGTCTCACGTTGCACTTTTTCGGGCTTGTCATCGCGGAAATATGCGTAGACGCGCAGAAAAGCAGACGGGCCAAATGCCGATGGCCGCCGCCAACACAGCTGACAATGACTCGGTAGCCAATGGCAATGCAGCTTAGGGTGCCGCGCGTTTCAAACCGCTCAAACCACGTGATAAAAAGGCCTCGTTTTTTATTTTTTTTGCCCACGTACGAAACTGGCGGTTGTCGGGGTTGTACGAAGAAGGCCGGACGCAACTTTCCCAACCGATCGCAATGGCGGACGGCACTGCGACGGGGAGCAGCACCCAGTCAAAGATGGCCAATATCGGCGCAAAATCACGAAATTTTGAGCCACCGCGATGCCTTCATACATACTTTTTCTGCATTTTGCGGTTCGAATTTAGTTTTGAAATTTTCACAGATAAAAGAAGAAGGTTTGAAGATTACAATGCAATAAAAATCAGAAATACAAAAAATTTCGCTAAAAACGCGATTTTTCGACTCTCATCTCCCCTTAAGGCACTATCTCATGCAAGCTCTCCCTGCACTGCCCGCGCACTCCATGAAAGCATTTGACGGCTTTCTTTTCGCGCAATTGTTTAACCACAGCAGTGGTATCTGTTGCGATATCAAGGAGCACCCAGAAGCAGTTAGCCAACTTTGTCGCTACCTCGCAGGACGACCACACTGCTGCTGTTGACAACGGCGTACGGCGCCTCGCGTTTCCAGGCACCATCTCTGATAGCGAGTGACTTTTATCGGTGCAGATAACATAGCTGTTTCTGCCTGCATCGATACGGAGATCACGACCGACGTTGCCAGTACGACGGAGGTGTAATACCTCTGCGATTGACGCTGCTGACCGCCTTTTCATTTACTGCGCTACAGAGCTTGCATTAGCATTCAGCGTCAATGCTGTTGTGAGTGAAGGAACCGAATTTTTTTATTTGAAAAGCTTTAACGATACTAAGGATGACTGGAACTTGGCGGTGCGCAAAAAAAGCCAGGCATGTTTAAGGGGGAACGAGGGCCTTAAAAATGTTTTTTATTTATCTACTGTCATGAAAATTACTGCGCATGCACATTATTGAATATATATTTCATTCTGCGAACAGATTTCAAATGTCTTAATTAGTAAAAAAGTAATAAATGATTTCCACATTATATTTAGGTATTTCCTTACGGGTTGTAATGGTAACTCACAATAAAAAAGTTGGTTTTCGAAACCACGTGTTTCCCCTAAAAGGTTCATCCCACAGGCTGAAGCAAACTAGATGCCAAAATGGCTATTTGTTTGCTCAGAAATGATTAACCTGGAAAGTAAAAATGAGCTTCCAGTAATTAGCTGGTAGTTATCATAATTGCGACTCTGTCAAGGTTGAGAGAAAAAAAATCTTCAGCCTGTAGTTCAAGTGCTGCGGAAAAGAGTGGTACCAAGTTTGTTTAGATATCTTCACAGAAACTTGTTCAAGCCTTTCGTGAGGCAGATTAACTTCACAAAACTAAGAATGCCAAGAAAATTTGTTTCAAGCTTTAAAAACATTTGTAATTTCACATATTAAGCTTTAAACAAAAAGAAATGGTATTTTGCCATAATACAAATAAAATTATTCCAAAACATACTTTTGACTACAATCGAACCTCAATATATCGAACACGGATATATCGAATTATTGCCTATATCGAACGGTTCCTATATCACGCGGGAAATCGCATGCATTATTGTTTTTTTATTTCGAACAAAGTTTGACATATAATGGATGTATCGAACTCGGCCACCCCAAACCGCCCGCGCTCCATTGACAGGCGGCGAGCTTCCCCGCAACTCTCGAAAGTAGCGGTACAGCGGCGGGCGTTTATGAATGCTGCACCAATGCCTCCTCTAGAAAGATGCCTGAGGAATGGCTCGCGCTCCCAGGGGAGTTGGCCTGCAACTGTGCACCACAGTTTCGGAGGCTATGCAAAGTGTTGCGTTGTTGCACCGTTCGCCACAGGTGACGCTAGCGACCGAGAACATTTTCAAAATGAAGGAGAGAAAGGGTGTGGCAGCTGTTTTTTTTTTTCTCATGCGGCAGGCATCTGCCACTTAACGTAGCGACGTACATATGCCACTTTAACGTAGCGACGTACGCGCGCCGCAGCCTTGCAGCTTGCAGTCGTTGCAGTCTCTATGGTGTCAACGGCACACTGCGCACTTGTTGCAAGCTCCTCCCCAGTAGCCTCGGCAGGCATCGGTCGTTGTGCTCGCAGTGTTCGTGCAGAGTCTTCATTTGGCTGCTCAGCAGTAGGTCCGGTGACAATCTCCACATCCGTGAGCTCCGCCGTGAGCTCACAACGGCGGAGCTCAGGGATGTGGAGATTGTCGCCGAAGCCACTGCTGAGCAGCCAAATGAAGACTGCCTACGTGGATTTTGCAAGCGCTGATGGTGCCCCGCTCCCGACATCAGCTGAGGTCGTTGCTGCCTTGGCCCTTGTGCGCCGCCAATGCGGCGCGATTGAAGGCACCGGCCTATCACTTATGGATCGCCTGGACTATATTCAGGTCGCAGTCGTCAAACACGCCATGGCCAACAAAAAGTAGGCTACTCTTTTTCAATATTTTAAACCAACACAATAAATACTATGTTTGAATGTTCAAGTGAGTATTTACTGCACCACGCTTGAACAGTTCGTTGGTTGTTTTCAGCAAGCTGTTGACGCATTTTTTTCGCGATTTTTTTATATAGAATTCTGGATATATCGAACTATTTCGCGATCACCGCGCCGTTAGATATATATCGAGGTTCGACTGTATAAGTATTTCAAATTGCAATTTTTGCAAGTCAGCACTTTTTAAATTTTGTGCTATTTTAAGACCCTCGTCCCTCCCTTAAGGACTATTTTCATGCGAAATAAAGTGTGGTAACCTGCAAAGTTCCCACCTCATTCTTTATCATACTGTAAGCAAATAGTCATGTTAGCACTTGTTACAGTTTCCAAAAATTGTTTTCAATGACTGGAATGCCTTAATATAGGCTTTTCTATACGCATATGTTGTATTTCAAAATTTCGATATATCGAACTATTTCACAATCCCCATTTAAGTTCAATATATCCTAGATCGACTGTATATCAACACAGAAAATGGTCCTTGATTATTATTACTAGTTTTTTTCACGCAGCCTACGGCGATCACACGCACAAGCTATCAGGAGTGAAAAGGAACCACAAAAGGAAGCGCGAGACTGCAAATGGTTCCTACTTGTTCCATACATGCCTTTTAAAAGGGACTGTCTACCGCTCGGAAAATATTTTCCAATTGAGGCACAACGAGATCGTTCACCACATCGACGGCAATGAGCGTGGTTTTGTCCCATAAAAAAGGTATTGTAGTTTTGATTTGACGTTGAAAGTTCACTGAAAGAGACTGCTAACGTCACCCATGTGGTCAGTCTATTAGTAGGACAAGAAATCCAAGCAGGTAGACTTATTTTTGCTTAAAAGCGAATAAATATAACTTGAAATTCTATTGTACGTGCTTGAGGAAGCTTGAAATTGTGCCAGAACTTTTTTTTTCTTTTTTTCTCACGCGCTGAAAGAGGTGCCTGGTGGTGCTGTTTTCACTTGCCTGCGTGCCTATCAGCAAAAGCGGAGAAACGCATGCACTGGCGTTGGCCACCACTCACAAGAACAACAGAAGATATATGCGTGCATAAAACGACCACTAAGGTATTTGTTTTATTATTAAACAAAACTTGATGCCTTCAAAAACCGCACGCAGTTTCAGTCTTCGATTGGCACCAGCAGTACCATCGTCACAGCCTCCAATGACCAGGGTCGTGGGCATTTATTCCACCAATGGAAGGAGACCCAACGCTTATAGAAAAATTATGTTTTAGAAATGTCAACACACTTTCCAGAGAAACTGCTGCAAGGTTAGACACTTGAGATTGTACCCTTTTTATTGCAACACAAAACAGAAAAGCAGTGAAGGACGATAGACAGTCCCTTTATTCACCTCGCTCGCTCTACGAAATTCTTGAGGCAAAGCTTCTTAATGAATTACTCATTAGAATGTTGCCTTTGCACTTCCACCAGTGGACATGTGAACACTGCCCCCTCGCATACACTGATGCCTCATGACCAGGACTGAAGATAACATGCATGCAACTCTATTCCTACCAGGTAGCAAGATGCCGCCAGCCACAGCTTCCAGGACACGTCGTAGTGCATCACCGGGTGTCAATGGCTGACCTGCACTGCTCAGCACCTTCTCCACCAAAAGCTCTAGGGCCTGCACATACGCAAAACAAGGGCAGGACTCTTTAAGCAAACACTTAGAAATAGAAGGTTTTGTGTTGTGCATATTTCTTGAGAAGTCAATTACCCAACTGCTGCACTAGAGATGCTATGAGGGTTGTACTAGAAGTAACGTTACCATATTTCTTACAAATAGAAAACAATGTTTATTGTCATAATACATCGCCGAAAAGCTTACACTTCTGTGTATTTTTGCGTGTGTAAACATAGCTGTATAAACATAGCTTCAGTTTGTTTTTTTTATCAACACATTTTTGGAGACTGTTCTAGCTTTTCTATGCACAAGTCAAAAAAACCTCTCACTAGCCTGTTAAAAAAGTGTGACCTCTGCTCGAACTTCACCGTTACTCTTGAAGGGCGGTGGCGGTAAACCAGAGTGATGCCACAGACGAGGTTGTTTTGTTTCGAGGGTGTAATGAAACACCTACGTTTCATCTCTCATGTCAATAGAGCTCAATAACTTCTCTTTGTTGCCTCCCTGCACCATTTTTGGATGTGCTGAATGGACATGCACTCTGCCCCATAAACTACAGTCATTTGCCTATGAATCTCCATGGGCGGTAACTTTCTTGCATGGAGAAAAGAGACTACTACTGGTGAGGATCTGATGTGCCCCTGCGACCATTTTGCAGGCATTCCGCCGTACGGCCACTCCTTTTCCTTTCCTGTGCTCTGGTAACAGCGCGTGGCGATAGGTGGCACCACATGCGGTGCGTGTTCTCGAGGGCTGCGAGAGTCAGTGAGGCCGAGTAGCATGCATACCAGAAAGGGTGTCTCCTTCGTTGGCCAGCGCCTGATAAGCAGATGGTTTTCCTTCGTTTGCGTCCCCCTTGCAAATCGCCAGATTGTAGCCTGCCTGGGTGCCTAGGCATCCCCGGCAGGCGTGCTTACCTGGGTGTTAGCTTAGGTGCCGTGCGCTAAATCAACTAGCAGTGCCTAGCGCTTGAAGTGGCCGTACCATGCCAAACCGCACTTGCTGGAGGCCTACCTGTATGAGGTTTGCCCTAACTCTCGCGACAAGGCACAGTGGCCATCGTGACAGTGCGCAGCATAGCCGCGAGGGACCTTTTCCCGACATGCGTGCTGAATCTCACCATAGCCAGCTGCGAAGTCCTCGCGGTCTCCCCTTTATAACGATCGTTCGCGTGCAGAAGCCTTCATTGCCCGTGTCTCAGAAGCGGACGTTGCACTGTTGTTTAGGGTGCCGCCAAAGGCAAAGTGTGTGGTGGTCACCGCATACTTGAACATTGCACTTGGCGGGACCGGCTATCGACACTTCCATCTCCGACGGCTACCAAGCAAACACTGAGCAACGTACCGAATTATGTACAAGAGGGCTCAAAGGTGTGCCACTATTCACGACACCTTCCCTTGGAGCATGAGATCATTAGGAGCCTTACTTTTGGTACAACCCTCCTACCTGGTGGTTTCAAACCCAACATAGCTTCACTGAGCTGGCAAGAACAGGCCCATTCAACTTGTCTAATGGGTCACACAGCCACGGTTTAATAGTGTCTGCTACGTTAAGTAGGACCGAGCGTACTGCATACATATTGTAGGGCTGAAACAGCAACTGCTAGTCAATGTAATACATAGGCAGCACATTACTGCAAGATAGCGAGTTGCCGATACTACTAAAAGGCATGGTAAATGTTGATTAATTTGACTGATTTATATCTGGGGTTTAATGTCCCAAAACCACCATATAATTATGGAAGACGCTGTAGTAGAGGGCTTCGAAAATTATGACCACCTGGGATTTCTTAACAGACACCCAAATGTGAGCACGCGTGCCTGCATTATTTTCGCCATTATCACCTCTATCTAAAATGCAGATGTTAATTGTTGACGAAAAGGACTGATGTGCTTCATGGAGTTGTATGGAAGTGCATTCCACATGAACTTCAATGAGTGCCCAAGTTGAATAAAACAATAATGACTATGCTTGTGCAAATATTTGCATGAATAATGTTATATTCCAATTGACTGTGAACTGAATTACTGAAAATTTTGAATTATTGAAAATGACTGAAAACATGCATATAAGTCCACAAGCAACGCAATGTAAAGGTGGTTTCACTGCAGTATAGGTGTGCTTGCTAAGCCGTGAAAGCACCTATTCAGATGTACATTAGTCCTCATGTAACCATCTGCAAAAGTGGTTTCCCTGCAGTGTAATGGTGCCAAACCTTGAAAACGCATCTATAAAAATCTGCACTGCCATAAAGCCACATTTCCAAGTTAAGGGGGGACATGGGCCTTGGGCAAAACATTTATTGCTACTGCTACTAGAGTAATGAAACTTGCAGGTAATATGTAATTTAATGTGCTGATTTCAAATATGCAACCAGTTTTTCTGTATCTCACGAAGAAAAAATTTTATACAACTTTTTCTGTTTTACACTTCTGGTATGACTGGCAAAAAATATTTTACAATAACCAAGCTAAAAATTATATTATATATTCCTGAATGCTCAATGAGTGCAAGAAGCATAATTTCGTGTTTCTACATTTATTTTATCCCAAGTTATAAAAGTTCAAAAATTTTTATTGAGACATGAATTCTTTGTCTGTTGTTTGCCCAAAATTTCAAAATGTTTCAGGGTGAAGAAACATTGTATTATAGGCATATTGCACTCTTTGGGAGTCTAGCTATAAGACAAAAAAAAACCCATTAAAATTGGATGATTAGAAGGGTAACAACAGCCACCCAGAAAATTGGAGACGGCCAATAAAAGTGTTTTGAGAAAAGTGGGAAAAACTAATAGACATGTGAAAAAAGCCTTTTATTCTCCTGGATGGGCGAAATTACAACAGCCAGTGGCTCAGAAGGCTCCTGGAGAATAATCTGGGTAGGGCTTTCCTCTTTGCCTCTGCTTTGCAGCTGCCTGAAAGGCTGCTGATGACCCCCTCTTCCTTTCTGCATTGATAGTGCGTTGGGAGTCCTTTTCATTAGCCCTTCGGCTACCCTTGGCGGTTTGCTCTACTTGGAGCTCTCGCAATATGCTTGAGCTGGCATTGTGGGTGCCAAGGTTGAACCTCATCACAGCCTCTCCAACTGCTGCCGCGACTGCATATAGTGAGGCATTTTTGTCTTTGGGCGCGAGGCTCCAAATGACTGAATGCAGTGCCTCATTAGCGTTCCGAGTTTGTCCTCTCAGGCACCGCTGCAGCAACTTCTTGTCAGCCAGACGCTCAAAAATGGGCCGCAGTGCACTGCTGACCGCTTCTGGCAAGTTGTACCTGCTTTTTGGTGGTGGTTCGTTTTTTGCCATGGCCGAGTTATATTTACACCATGAGTCGGGACCATCCGGACAGAAGTTATGATTGGGCTTCTCATCTGTCGACGTAATGTGATAGAATGTGGCCCACACTGCGTTGTGCATTTTATCTAAGTCTCCAGCAAAAGACTTGATAGCCCATCCATAATAGCTGGAGATCTTGGTGATCAGGTCTGCGGTCAGCCGTCCTTTACCACTAATGCGCTGCGCATCACCTGACTTGTGCTTTTGCACAAGAATGCGAAGCGCTGTGCCCATTCGCTTCTGAATGTGGTTGGTGCACTCTTCTTTTACCACAGGAATAAAGCCATAAACATTGGTTTCATCAATGGCAATGAATGAGCGGCTATCACCATCACAGAGCATGGTTGTATACCTGAGGCCATGCAGAGAGAGTGAACGTTGAAACAGAATCTTTGCTGCCTCAACTTCCATTTGGCCTGCCGCAGAAATTGGAGAGAACCACGTAATCTAGCACATATCCTGTAAATAGCTCAATCACGGTGGCCACACCAATGTGAGAAGAGTGTCCACGTGTGTGCCATGAGCCATCAAAACAAACAGCAATGTTACCCGGATTTCCAAAATTCAGGTCACTGTACAGCTGTTTCACTTCGGCAGCACACTTTGCCAAGTTCTCAGAGCATGCTTTTGCCGTAGCTGGGTTCAGCTTGGTCTTCAAATAATGCTGGTAGGTCTTATTGTGAAGACCTCTGTGAGAAACTCCAATGGCAGAAAAAATGTCATTTAGGGCAGTCTGCCCATTCCCCGTGCTTTGCACCGCCCGTGCAGCGAGAATATTTATTTCGAAGGGATTGCACGTCGCCGAGCCAGCAACTCGCCGCGAGCTCCACTGCGATCGCAGTTCACCGCAATTGCTGCACGACACTGTCAGTTTCACGGCGATGCCGTACTCACGCGTGTCCCTCTCAATAGTTAGATCACCACGGCACACACGGCAACTACCAACCTCGAACAGGTTATTTACAAGGTCCAGGTCAACAACCGTATACGCCGTGGTTGAACTCGGGGCACTGTCACTCGCGACGCACTTCATTTTCCTTTCCGTCGCCGATACTGACGCTAGCTGGGAAAGTCTCTGCTGCGTTTGTTGCTCGCGCAAAGCACAATCTGCACTTGTTAAAAAAGTCGAGTCCAATCTTGTGCGCTCAGGCCGCGCAGCTCCGGTGTCCTGCACGGCCGCTGCCGCAACCGTCGGGGCGAAGTCCAGGGCGTGCGCGTCAGTCGCCGGCTCGCGTTCCGCCGTTGTGTTATCTGATGCCGGTCCAAGGTGCACAGCGGGCTCCGTCGAAGGCAGCGATGCATTTCTTCGCTTCGCAACACGCTTCCGTCGCGATTTGCCGAACTTGTGCACGGTGCGAAATTTCCGATAACCGTTAGGCATGGCGCACGACGACAGACGACAATGGCCTCTTTCAAAATGACGGCAGTTCGTTTTCGCTGCAAGCAGCCGGAAACAACCACGGACCAATGAGGAGGCGCACTTTTGTCACGTGGCGGCTGTGGGCCAATGAGATAGCTAGGTTTCGTTTTCTTTTTTGTTTGATTATTCAGTTACAGCGTATCACTGAAAACTCGCGTTTGGCTGAAAAAAAAGGGCGAAGGATGCAGTTTCAAAGGAGGCCAAGATGGCTGCGCTCCGTGGCACGGTTGCAAATCGGCGGCGGCGCGAAACTGATCGTTTTATGGCGTTTACCGCAAGCGAAACTAGAAAGTTCGCGTAGTAAATATGATCGTCCGGGAAAACTATACTGTTTACAGGCCTAGAGTTTTGCGAGAACGTGCAGGAAGATGTCCTGAATGCAACAACAACAGAATTGAAAAATCGTTTTTTTCGCTATTTTTTCGCTTTCAAGACCCGTGTCCCCCCTTAAATGAATGTATTATCCTGACCTCGATTCATTTTTCAAATTTAAAATCTTGTTATACCGACTTATATGCTTTAAATAAAGCAAGTTTCAAAACGCAACATACTTTACAGGCTATCATTGACATTCTACTCAGTCAAATCCTGCTGTAAAAAAAAAAAACATTTCCACAGGCCTTGTTCCACTTTTTAAAAAATATTTTGCAGGTTAATTATATGCCCCCCCCCCCCCCATGTGATACTATGCGATATATACACTATCCGAATTCGAACCTAAATATGACTATTCACACAAGCATACTAATGACACCCTTTACGCATCAAACAATGAGGTTGAAGCTGCCTGTCCCAAATAAAGCCAGGTGAAAGTTCGACCTACCCACGAGTTGAGGGTACTCCATGTGGGTACACGGTTGCAAAGGTCCCTCAGAATTCGGATGACCATGACACATGACTGCAGACCACTTGCCCTAGCCTGCAAAACGTGGCGAGCGCGCACACCAAAAACCCACCCCCCAAAGACAACCCCAGGTCAGCCCAAAACAAAATCAACACAACCATCGCCACACATCCCAGATAAATACACACAAAGACAACGCCGGCTGTTCCGGTCATATGGTTACATCCACAGAGCCTGCCTCAAGGCCGTTTTCTGCAGACAAAGTTCTGGTTTACTTTTTTCAAGCCGCCTAAATAAGGCATAATATATGCAGCAAGCTTACAGGCCTGGCTGGCAATGCTAAGGTATCAATGATGCTTATTATACAAATAGAATGGGGGTTCTCGACTTGGATGTAGAAACAGCGCAAATATAATGACACAGGCTGAAGAAGAGACGAGAAGGCGCCACATGCTTTCTTAGAGAGCTGCTGAAACTGCACTCTCCAGTGACAAGAATATTCAGTATAGGGGCTGACCAGCCCCCACTGCAAGCCTGGATAAAGAGGCTGCACATAACACTGTGAGAATCTCAATGCCTCTAGAGAATGGGGAAGCACGGCTTCGTATGCGTGTACAGCTGCCTTGTTTAAATAGCAATGACATTATTTTTGTGTGTAGTCACCACTGGTTAGGAGTCCAAAAAGTTACTTTTCATTTTCACAGCCGTTGATCTCATGCTAACACAACATGCACTGACCCTACAGGCGCCGTGTGTTATTAGGCATACAAGCATGGCCGGATTCACAAAGGCTCTTAATTTCACTCAAATTTCATTGTAAGAGCCACACTGCAGCAGCAAACAAGCCTGGGCTGAAACCACACAGTGCAACCATTGGTGTGCCACAGCACTGGCCAATGTCGTCGTTTGCCGGAAAAAGCACCAACCCCATGCCAAGTCCCATGCTGCTTTCAATTCACGCAGACAGTTCTGGCAAGCATGATTTAAGAAGATTACACGCTATCCTCATAAGTTGCATCTCTCACAACAGCATCGTGATGACTCATTTGCTATAAAGATTTTCATTTTCAGCACGAGAGTCTTCCGTCGAATGCAAGCAGTGGGATGGTATGAGGACTGTTTTGAGCATTTAGAGTCCTGTGCCTCTCATGAAACCCAGGCTATGTTTCATCTAGTTTGAGAACCTCCAATCTAGATCACGGTCACACATACTTTAGAAGACGTCGTCAAGTCATAGCAGCACAGCAACACGTTTGAGATGAAGAAAGCCCGTTGCTCCGGCTCAACACTGAAACACACTGGCACCACACTTTCCTGCTTGTTGAAAAAACAAAATCCTATGCTTTGGCCATGGAAGGCCTGAAAAATTCCCATAATAAAGTTAGAAGCATGCAGCTTTATCCCTCACTTCGCCTACATGGGGTAGTGAGGTTATGCAAGCGGCAGTTTAATTGCGGCCTGTGCAACCTACATTGCCATCTTATGCTAATGAACACAGCACAGTTAAAAAATTAAAAAATCTTGCAAACAGATGAACATGGGGCCAGTGCACTTCATTAATACACTCACCATAAGCAAGTGAAACGCATTTGCCAGCCATCCCCTCAGGACGTCACAGTTTTCCCTTTTCCAATGCAAGTTGAGCTGACTATAATACAGTCCCACTTGGCTAGCTTTCAAATGCATGCCTACCCTGAGGCAGACAACTTCAGTGCACAAGCAACAAGATGAGTCAGGTGTCCAACTTTCCAGCCCCATGTTTTCATTATTTTTATTCATTTACAGCCTTCTCAATAGTTTTTTTTTTCTTTCGTTAGGCCCAGCATTTTGAGGCAACATACTCATATGCAACACTAGTACAGAGGTGGGGACAAACGGCAATACAAATAAAAATATAAAGGGAGGAGGCGCATACCCCATGTGGGGGGTGCACACACACTCTGCGTTACAAGACATAAGGCTGAAAAGGTTTCCCAACCTGGAACCACTTGGCATGGCGCAAGGCGGCTAGAGCATCCAGGCATTTCTGCCTGTCCAGAACATCCGGCGGGTCTTTTACACTGGCTAGAAACCAGACGGCAAAAAGGAGGGAGAGAGAGAGGCCCACGGGGGGCACAGCCAGTTAGTCGCCTCACGGCCGGGTGTTTGACCCCTGGGCACCTTCCGTCAGGAACGGTGGGGGTCAAAAATCCTCCCAGGCTACTACACAGCAACAATTTGCGGTACAAGACAGACTGAAAGAAAGGGACCAATGCTCCCACGACTACTAAACACTTTTTGCGCTAGTGTTCTTCAAAACCCACCCTGGGTGCCTGCCGCTTTTCCGTCCATCATTTCGCCAGCTGGTTGCTATTTTCACCACTCTCATAAAACCATCTTAGTGAAATCAGCGCAAGCAGGAACAAAGCCACTATGCCTCTTTGTCGAAGACAAGTGCTCATGCCATGAATATCAGTTGCGGCAAGGTCACACTGGCAAGTTGCAGAGGTCACACTGCTCTCGTAGATTCACTCACCAAACCATAGTGAAACTGAGCACCATTTGAATGCATCTGTTCCAGGTCAATTCAAATTGCCAGCATTTGGTTTGCCAATCAACATATTAGCTTGAATTATAACTATTCAAGAATGTATAGCTATGTGCCAAGTCTAAATGCTCATTTCACAAGGGCCTTATAAAAGTTCCTTTAGCAAGGCAATTCAGATGCCTTTGTGGCACCATCAAAAACCGAACAGACGCCAATGTATAAGAATATTTGAAATTTTAAATGCTCAAAATATTTAGTATCCAGTTCACCGGAGTTTCAGCCCAAAGTGCAGGTTTGTAAAGACATCATTTGAAGCCCTTAACTCTGCCACAACTATTTCTTATGTTAGAACGAGTGCTTTCACGAGTGTGATTAGTTTACAACCATGGCAGTGTTGAAAGTTGGCTTTCACACAGTGTGAAAATTATGGGGTGAAGCAGAAAATCTCGGAAAGCCACTACACTTAAACCTCGATATAACCAATTCGGATGCGACATATAATCAGTTATAATGATGTACCGTAAAAACCGAAATATAAATACATATTTTCCATAGAACAACGAGCTGATGTAACTCTTCATTTTATATAGCGGTGTCTAGCCAATAGTGTGCTGCCGTTAGAGTTTCCTAAAATAGGGGAAGTGTCCAAAGCGGCGCGAGAATACACGGGAGAAGTAAGGGGCTTTTGCGGTGAGCTCCCACACTACGGTGCTGCCGTGCCAGACCCAGGAGCTTTCTCCACGGCGAAGGCCACGTCAAAGTGATGGGTGTCTGCTACGCGCCCAATATTTCAGCCACTATTAGCCAAAATTGCGGTAATATGGACAAGATTTATTATTGCATCACCCCAACACTTTACTGTAGTGACTCAACACAGATAACATGTTTGGAAGCTCTGGAACAGGGATCTTGCATATTTTCTTCCAGATCTTTTGTCACGGCAACTATCCGCACTTACGCACCTGTTTGAAGAATGCATTCTGCTTGTGTCCATCGTGAGCCAAGGTACTCACTTTGGTTTCATGTGGAATGACGAATGTGAATGTGCTGCAGAAGTGAATAAGCTGCAGATTGCAAGGATAACCAGGAGAACACATGATGCAGTATGATGCCGGTTCGGTAGCCATCCGGCCCGCTGTCACCACGTTCGAAACTGTCTCACCTGAACTCTCCATATTTATCAAGATGACAGATACGCTGCATCTGTTAGTGGTAAAATTTTTTAACTGTGTCGCAGCACTACGCAGCCTAAAAAATAGTGTATGCTATATTGAGGTCATCAGAAAAAAAAGCAGTAAATTGCAGCCAGGTGCCCTATTGACGTGCACTCATTTGCCGTAGGAACAATCTTGCTAAGAAGCGCAGCCACTATAAAAAAGAACGCACAACACAAGCGCTTAACTTCAACTAAACGTTTATTTCAAACGTCAGAGTATATAAAGGGGAAGAAAAGAGTAAAAGAGCAAAGGGAATAAAAAAGATAAAAATGGTAGACAACAAAAAACACACAAGTCTAAGCCCAGTTTATCCGTTTTCATGATCTGTTTAGCCAAATCATGCAATAGTTGTTTTTAGCCAAATGATCTGTTTAGCCAAATCTGTTTAGCCAAATCATGCAATAGCTTGTTTTTTAGTTGCAAGACGCACAAAGATGGAATGCCGTTCCGGGTAATTATTTCGGAACAAGGTTCTTGGCAAAAAAATGTGGCATTTTTTCTACAGGAAAAGCTGAATCTCCTTCATATCAATGACCCCTTTCACACTAAGAATTCTGAGCAGATTGTGAATTTTTTGGTATCGAATGCCAAAACTGTCGTTAAGGCGTTGTCCATAGATGTGAAGGATTTGTACTATTCTTTACCCCATGAAATGCTTCTAGAATTTGTTGAGGAGTGCATACTTGAGCATAGTGCAGTGACCTTTCAGAACACTTGTGGTATGTCAGTGAGAGGTTTTCTAGATTTACTGGCTTTGTATTTAACGTCCACATTCGTAAATTGGAATGGGAACATCTATATCCAAAAACAGGGTATTTGTATTGGTTCCGCCATTGCACCCGTCCTTAGTGATATTTTCATGGCCCACTTAGATAGAATAATTGATGAGAGGTTGTCGGGAACTAAGGTTTTAAAGATCTTCAGGTTTGTGGATGATTATTTGGTTTTTTTTGAAGTGTGATGCCAAAGAGTTTCAAAGTGCTGCTGTTTTGACACTTGAAGTATTTGAGACAGTTTGCCAGCCTCTGAAACTTACACATGAAATGCCCTATGGTGACACGCTCAGGTTCCTAGATCTGTCGTTGCAATTTCAAGATGACCACGTTTGCTGGCTTTATGAGCCCAGGAGCAAAAAGCCATTGTTGCCTTTCTCTTCTGCACATACCAAAGTAGTGAAGAGGTCTGTTGCGCGAATGTGCCTTTTTAATTCGTTGAAGAAGTCATGTTTTCACCTCATGCAGAAGAGCTTTGAGCAACAGGTTTTGCGTCTGAAGGCAGCAGGCTACCCACAACGAATGGTTATAAGCGTCGCTGAATCGCTACATAGGGACCTAAAGAAACAAAGTAGGCAGCGTATTAACACTTCCCTGCAGCAGCGAAAAACGGCTGTTGTCCCCTATATCCATAGTGTGGCGCACAATCTTAAAAAGATTGGTAATAAGGTGGGCGTCCGAGTGGTTATGTCTGCTCCTGAAAAACTGTCCAGAATATGTCGCCAAACTTGTCCTGCTTCAAAAGAAAAGAAAGGTTGCCAAATTAAGCATCGCAATAAATTTGTTGAGTGTGCACAGTCTGTTGTTTACAGAGTTCCCTTGTCATGTGGTCTTGTTTATGTGGGAACAACCGAAAGATGCATCAATGAAAGGCTAAAGGAGCACCACAATAAAGTGCAGAAGGGTACTGATGGTCACTTGGCGATCCACTGTAAAGAGTGCGGTTGTGTGCCTTATTTTGATAACACGTGCGTGCTGTATCGTGCTGTATCGAGACAGAGATTTGTTAACCCGTTTGATAGTAGAAGCGGCTGAAATGACACGCGATGATTTTGATTGTGTTAGTGCACCCTCTATCTCGCTCACGCGGAAAGAACTATGTTTTTTGGATGGGGTGATAGACAATAACGGATAGCGATGTACGGGACTGGCACGTGTGTTTTTTGTTGTCTACCATTTTTATCTTTTTTATTCACTTTGCTCTTTTACTCTTTTCTTCCCCTTTATATACTCTGACGTTTGAAATAAACGTTTAGTTGAAGTTAAGCGCTTGTGTTGTGCGTTCTTTGTTATAGTGGCTGCGCTTCTTAGCAAGATGGATCCTTACCAACTGGCCCGATACAATTGTTTACCGTAGGAACAATTGTATTTTACATAATTACTCGTATACATCTTTTTGTAAATTCTCTGAGCCATGCCAATGCTAAGCACTAAGAACCTTCAAAATATCTGAAGTTAAGTTAAGAATGAGTTGTTTGAAACTGTTTTCATTGTATATAGTAAAAGACTGAAGCAATGCGCGCATGTCACGGAAACGTTTCATAGTAACAACCAGCTTACGCACCCGTTTATATATATATATATATAGAAGAGAAGAGACACAACTTAGCGGTTGCTTTAATGTTATTTCCAACGGTTTTGACAGGTGGACCAGTCTTTGTCAGGGTTTGCAAACAAGTACTTGTTCGCAACCCTGACGAAGACAGGGCGAGAACTTTTTCACCAACCTTGACGAAGACCAGTCGACCATTGGAAATAAAATTGCAACCGCTAAGTTGTCTCTTCTCTTCCCTATTACGTTTGGCCAATTGAAAAAACTTCAGTGTGTGCATATGTATGTGTGTGCGAGTATATTATATATATATATATATATATATATATATATATATATATGCATGCGTGTGTGTGTGCAGGTGCATGTGTGTGTGTGTGTGTGTGTGAATTTTTGTTCCAAACCACAAGAAACAAATCGACAAGTGCACTACTGCAGGGCTATCCACTAGAGCCATAAGCAAGGAAGTTAAAAAAGACAATATTGCGGGAAGAGCGAATTCGAGAATAGACAAAAGAAAGAGAAGGGAGGAAAAAGGTGGGAGAGAGGGTAAACTGACGTTCAGTGGTCCCTGTAAATATAAACAAACCCGACACATGAGTGACTACAGCTGGCTCCCAAAAAACTTCACTCAATCTCTCGCTCTCTCCCGCGTTCTGTATTTTTTTTTTTTGTGTTTAGGTACATAAGTGATAGTTATATTTCAGCTATTAAACTATTCAGCGTTATAGCTTCAGCGTTATATTTCAGCTATTCAGCTATGCTTTTGTGGCGTAATAACTTAGTGGTATAGTTTTCCGAGCTTGACATTTTCTCGAAGTGTTCGCCAAGAGCGTTTGTTCTATTCATCACCGCAGTCATTCACCAAAGGGAAGGAATTTGGGCCTTGTCCTATAAGTTTATGCACCCTATTATAAACCTTGCTGACGTCTGCGTAGGAGTTTATTGAGAATATATAGCGTGTCCAGCTTTCCCGTTTGGCTATACAGCGAACA